TGAGGTGGATTTGTAAAAGAGTGCAGGTACATCTACCAGACACTTCTCAACCTTTTTCCAATTTATTTCTTGGCCGTGGCTGATGTTGCGGAGGCCATTAACGCCAGGGGATCTTTGAAGGAGCTCCCAGAGGGAACGCTCCTACACAAATAACCCTCAATTGTGATTCCTTTCTTTTTTATTTTGACAGGAATATCTTATCCTCTGATCTTACAGAGACCATTTTTCAACTTTTTTCCCCTAATCTGATCTTGTCCTTTTATATGTTCTACAGCTTGGAAAACTTGTCTTTGGGTTTTCAAGGACGCCTGCAGGCTCTGCTTTCCCCCTGCAGGTTGTAATCTCAGTGCAAATCCAACCATCAGCAGTGGAAACCTTTTCAAACACTTTTTTTGTCAGATCTGGGCTCCCCCCCCCTCTTTTGTCTTTACATTGTGCCGTTGCTTTTCTCTCCATCCCTGCAATATTATAGTCCCCTCCAAACCGCCTTCACTTTCTTGTTTAGAAGGTGCAACAGCACCAGGGGATTCGTCTTTTTGAAGTCTGTGATTAATTTCCCCTCTTTCTAGGTGCACTGAACTGCAGCGTGTGAGTCTGTCTGTGTGTAGCCACTGTGTCCCATTTCTTACCTGAGCTCATTAGTGCAATATGAGAATGATTTTTCTTTCTCTTGCCTACTGTCATTTCCTACCTCTCTCTACCTTTTTTTCTTTTGTCCTTTCACACTCATGGTTGCTACTTGTGTTCCTCTCTCTTCTTTCACTCTTTTTTCATCCGATTACCTTGGTGTCCCTTCTCATCCCGAACTTCCTCCCTCCTTATTTTCTCCCTTCTTTTATTCTTCATGCACACACAGGAACACACACACACACACACACACACACACACACACACACACACACACACACACACACACACACACACCACACACACACACACACACACACACACACACACACACACACACACACACACACACACACACACACACACACACACACACACACACACACACACACACACACACACACACACACACACACACACACACACACACACACACACACACACACACACACACACACACACACACACACACACACACACACACACACACACACACACACACACACACATATACCAATACTAACCACTGTCAGCTTGTCACAACTCGGTTGGAGCCAGAATGTAAATGCACTGCACTTCCTGCATAACAATATTACTGTGTGTGTGTGTGTGTGTGCAGAATATAACTGGACCTGTATTTTTTTACGTAAGTCGATATGTTTAAAAATGTGAAGGTTTTAATCACTGTGTTTATTTTTGAAATGCTATATAGGGAAGTATAAAGAATACACCTGTATTGACGATAACTGTCATATTGAAACAAATAATAATAATAAACAAGGTTAAATAGAACTTTGATCAAAAGCATTTTTTTTGCTGCCAATTTTATATAGACTTTGCAATTATATCATTATCTTTCTTCATCATAATCTAGTAGATGTATCATCATCATCATCATCATCATCAAACAGACTTCCTTGTACTTTGTGCAACAAGCTTCTTTCTCTGAGTTTGGGACAGCAGGGATATGGCCCGCCGGCCGGTCGACCGCCTTGGTAACATGCTAGCATTCACAAAGCATGACGAGAGCTGCCCCCGACATGACAGACAGGCAGATAAACATGACAGACAGACAGGCGGACTGGCACACAGAACGTGGAACCTGACAGATTAAGAACTATGAGAGACAGACAGGCAGACAGAGGTTTGTAGTTCTGTTTCAGGTGGGTTAGAAGAGGAGTGTGTATTCAAAAAAAGTCCTGAGGGAGATGAAGGGAGACAGGATAGTGGTGCTGGTGCATGACGTGATCTGCGTGAAAAAAAATCTGAAAAACGATTTTATACTTGTGAACCTTCTGTGCTGCCTAGAATCCGATGTTAAGACCAATTTTACGAAAACAACTGAGACATGATATCCAAAATGTTTGGATACTGCTTATTGTTTTAACCCTGTATTTTTATAAGATCAAATGTGCATTTGGATCACAGAAAATATTACCGACTGGGTCAAAACTGGTGCCAGATGACAATAAATGGAAAATGACCGATTCATTTAAATGTGTGTAGTGATTGTTTTTTTTTGTTTAGTTAACATTCCCATCTGGCTTTATCAGTACACAATGTGTCTATGTTGTTGGGCGAGGCTATCAGTAACTTTTAATGCCACAAAATAAGTTTATGAGGGACAAAATCAAAATGGACCAGAATGTAGGGACTGACTGAAACAGAGTGGCATGATCAGACAACCACAAATATAATAGGAGAGAGGAAAGGACACTGCAGATGAGAGAAAGGCAACGCAAGACAACAGATGGTTGAGAAAAATAGATTAAAGAAGAGGATGTAGAAAAATTGAGAGTGGAAAGAGAGAAAGAAAAAAGAAGCAGAGAAAAGAGGTAGATACAAGGTGAGGGACACGGTAAATCATTTTAGCAGACAACCTCATCTTTCACTCTCTGTAGCTCTCTCTCTCTCACACACACACACACACACACACACACACTACACACAAACTATCCTCTCTAATCTAAGTCCTGTGGCAGTGAGAATAGATATGGCTGTTTAGTGCCAGCAGCACAGCTCCCGGTACCTGATGACAGCAATCTGCTGAGTCAGCAGCTCTAGTCTGTGTGTGTGTGTGTGTGTGTGTGTGTGTGTGTGTGTGTGTGTGTTCGTTTGAGACACAGAGGGAGTTACAGAGAGAATGAAAATGCTTGTAAGATTTAGTGCAATGCATAGATATGTGTTTATGCATCCTGCCTTGGCAATGATGAGCACTGCAATTGAACACACACACACACACACACACACACACACACACACACACACACACACACACACACACACACACACACACACACACACACACACACACACACACACACACACACACACACACACACACACACACACACACACACACCACACACACACACACACACACACACACACACACACACACACACACACACACACACACACACGTTCACTATCATTACCATGCCAGCGAGACGTAGCTGGTATTACCATGACAACAAGCTCTCACTGTCATTGCTATCACAGCAGCAGGTCACGACGACGAGAACTAATGGAGTCCTTTAACACTATTATATAAGCCAAATACAGGTCACTGTTATTTGGTAACAACAGCAATTAACTATTGTCGCGGTAACTAAGGTTCACCATCATCACCATTACATCTGGCAGCCAATGAGAAACTAATTAGCTAAACATCTCTCTGTTATTCTCCTTGAACCTTTGTTTTATCGCTGTTTTCAGCTGATATGTATCTCACAGATAAGCTTCTAACTATCTACTAATGACCTAAAGGAAGCTGTTATCTTAAGAGTACAGATCGTAAATATTGTTTATGAATTAATACCTCCGCGGTTTGGCCCGCTTTCAACCAAGCTTTCAAACTTGGTTGAGGGGTGCAGTATATGAAGCAGATCTGAATCACAGGGCAGATCGACACATTTTGGTTCACTTTCATTCGACATTTTGAGATAGAGCATTTGGCCATGGTGGAGGACAACGCTCTTTGAGTGCCTTTTTGAAGTATTGAATACTGTGATATTTAGACTTTTTGTTCCGTTAAGTGTATTTTTCTACTTCTTAAAAACAAAACCATTTGTAAAAAGAGTTTTAAGAAAAATATATATTATCTAATGTCCCTCGAAGGCCTTACTGTGTGTTGTCTTCCTTCTTTCAAGAACATTTGTATATTATGTACTATCTTTATTTACGAATGGAAGAGCTAAGTTTTATGTTTGTTTTCATATTTGAAAAACTCATTGAGCTGAAATTCTATCAAGTGTCCCTGGCATACATCTGATTATATATTTCTCCATGTTTGAGAGCTTACAGCCTGTATATGTATGGAGCTGTTCTATCTGAGGACCCAAACGAATCGATAAAGAGATAACATTATGTTCAAAGGAATATGACAATCTCCCACCAGCTTTCAATGCTCTACATTGGCTCCCAGTCCGTTTGAGTATTGATTTTAAGATTTTGTTGCTTACAGTTAAGCTTCTGGATACATTGCTGAGCATCTGACCACATATCCCCGTGCACACCAGAGCCTGGCTTCAGATGCTCAGATTCAACCTCACTAGATGTACTTAAATCCAGACTAATGATGTTAAAAGGTGATGATTGGAAAGGCTTTTTTTTTTTTCAGTCTTACCAAGGGACATTGATTAGTCAGGAGTTACGAAATGACTTTAAAATAGCTCTCTTTAAAAAAAGGCTGCATTATTGTTTAGATATCTATTGTTTTTACACCATTTCTTTAGTTTATTGTCTTAACTTTTATTGAATGTCTTGCCTTTTTTAGTCTCTCCTTTGTAAAGTTGTTTCAATACATTTGTACCTGTTTTATTTGTAAAACATTGAACGCATCTTTCTTTTTGAGGAAAAAGGATAAAATACAATAAAAGACAGATGTAGTCTACTGAAACAAGTAGTGAACATATAATATTCTTAAAAGGATAACCACTGTAGCATTCAACCGTGGTCCCATTTAGCAGATATATTGCCAACACAGCAGAATCATCTCAACCACTCAGCTTCGTCCTTCCTGTTCTCCGTCCCAGAGAAATGAATCGAGGTCAATCATCTGTGGTCGAGTGGACAGGAAATCAAGCTCCATTTATGTGGATGGTGTGTGCCACAATATCTGGCAATATCCGTTTTTGCTCTGCAGGTGTCAAGTGTGGCCTACTGTGCAAAAATGATGACAGGCCATTTCCAAAATCTGTCCACCCACCACTCTCAGTCAACAAGGGTTTGGATGTAACCGTTAAGCACTTTATGATTCCAAACCGTACATTTTTTATTTGGTTGGCCAGAGTGTGTGTTGGCAAAAGGTAACAGGTTTTTACATTGGCCTGTTTATACAACTGTAATTAGAAAAACCACAAGGCACTCACGATTTCTTTCTTTCTTACCGCCAGCGACGTCTTCTTCCAGGAGTTGTATCTGCAGGTGGAAGATCTTCTCCTGGAGGTCACAAAGTGTGTGCTTCATTTTCTCTCTCCGAGTCACCATGTAGCACAGGTTACGCACCTGAAAAACAAGATATCACCGTTACAAACATGGGACACATGTCACAAACATCATAAAAACAAATAAGACGGCCACATACAGTTGTAATCAATATCGTGTATACAAAAAAATAGATCTAATGCTTCATGGCTGTGGAGTAGCTCACTGTGAGAAATTACCACCTGATATTTTTAGGGGCTTTTAGTCAATGGTTTTGTGGTTTTACATTTTCTGTTTTCTGTCTCAGTGAGCTCACCAGCTCCATTTCTAGAAGCAGCATTAGGCAGCTGTGTCTAATAAAAAAGCTGTGATAAATCCTTTGTACGCTGTACTCCATTTGTTCACAATGAATAGCAGACACACAAAGTTAGCAACTAGCATCGAGGGAGGAAGATTCTTTAACAGGAAGAAGTAATCACCCAAAGAGAAAAGGAAAAAAAATAGTATGTATTTAAATAATTTGTGTTTAGTTATAATGAATGATAATGTCTGTCGATATTCTTGATATGTGATAACAAAATACTTAAGGTGTGTGTTTTTTTTCTGGAGTTCTGCTACGCTGCTAAGTGGCTGAATAAGAAACCTTTTTTAATATGATTTTGCATACAGGACTCTGCACAAGTGAATTAATCAGTATTTGATCTCACAACAAATCCCATCATACATTAAAAAGAGAGCAAAGCAAGAGGTATGGACAATCTTGAAGACAAATATCAATGGAACAGTATATATCCTCACATGTTTATATTAGGGCTGTCAGTCGATTAAAATATTTAATCGCGATTAATCGCATGATTGTCCATAGTTAATCGCGATTAATCGCAAATTAATCGCACATTTTTTATCTGTTCTAAATGTACCTTAGAGGGATATCTTTCAAGTTTTTAATACTCTTATCAACATATGAGTGGACAAATATGCTTTATATGTTTGTTTATTATCATTTGAACAATGACAAATATTCTCATGAATATTAAACACAACAACCTGGAACCTCTCTCATACAATAATACTGTGTGTGTGTGTGTGTGTGTGTGTGTGTGTGTGTGTGTGTGTGTGTGTGTGTGTGTGTGTGTGTGTGTGTGTGTGTGTTGGAGCTATGTGCAGCTCAAGGCATATATGCTCCAACGGGAGCTGCCTGGACGCTGCAATCATGTTGCGTGTGCTGACTTTTCGTACAATGTCCCACTGTCTGGCTACCTGCATAAAGTCAAGTGCTCGGCGCAGTTGTCGGCGAAATGTCATTGAAACAGCTCCTTATATCCGTTAGAGCAGCTAGCTAGCACCAGATGCTAACAACAACACGTAAGGTGTGCCTCGCTCGCGCGAGTCGCGCCACACATACACACTCCCTCCCGGTCCTCCCGATGGCCAGTCCGGGCCTGCCAGTGAGCGTGGAAGTGTGGTCTGCCACAAGCGGGCGGTAGGAGCGGGGCTGTCAGCATCAGCGGGGCTGTCAGCATCAGCTTGTCGATGGTATTTTAAACTCGATGCGCTCTGAAACTACGGCGGCCGAGGACAAAAAATACACATGCGTTAATCGCGTTAAAATAATTAGTGGCGTTAATTTTTTTTTGCGTTAACGCGTTATTAACGCGTTAACTTGACAGCCCTAGTTTATATGCATCCAGTAATGAGACAATAACAGATAAAAGTATAGAGGCAACCTGTTTCCTGCCAGTAAACTGGATCCCACAGCCCCCCTGCCATATTGCCAAATTACTATCATATGGCCCTATAAGCTGTACAGGAGTGTGTATGTGTTAGGATCGAGAGCATAGCGCTGAATGTGTGCATGTTTATAAAAGGCACATATGGATGTTCGAAGAAAAGCTGTGGTCGCAAATGTGTGTGTTACTATTTTGGATTGGCAACACATAAGATAGAAGGAGACACAGAGAGAGAAGAAGGCAAGTAAAGAGGCTGAGACGAATAGAGAAACAGAAATAGATACATGGAGAGAGACAGGTATGGAGAGACAGACAGATAAACAGCAATATTGACAGAAAACTCCAGGAAAAGAAAGAGTTTTACTGACATGCAACCACCAACTAATGATATATCAAGTTGACCTTTGTGCACGGTTCAATCTGACTTTCCTTTGAGCTGCGTATTTATGTCTCCCCAATGACTGTTTGTATACTTGTTTATTTAGAAAACCTATAAGATAATATAAAAGGTAGAAGGGGAACCTAATGCTGGGTTATGCTCATATATATCTAGTTAAACCACGTCCAAGAAGTAACAGTCGCACATTAAGACAAGGGGATTGTTAGCAACTGATTTTATTTCTCATTTGTCATTAGGGTTGCAAAATTCCGGGAATTTTCAAAGATGGAAACTTTCCACGGGAATTAACGGGAATTAACGTGAATAAACGGGAATTTATGGGAATAAACTGGGAATTTTCTAAATGGAAGGTTGGCTCTTCATAGGGAACTTAAATATAGTTGGGGAAAGTATATTTTAGCATAATCTTGACTAAAACAAACAGATGCCATTCAAGTACACTTGAATATCCATGCCATAGCACACTGCTTACTGCATGGCTATTGAGACCACACAAAGGTTTGCAACAGGCTCACAAATGTGAGAGTGGAAAAACTGGTTGGCATTCGGGCAAACCTATGGCTCTTTGAGCCTGACACAGAGCCATCCTCAACAAGGCTGGACAGTGACACTGAAGAGGAAGACTCAGAGTGTGATGTTGATGAGGCCCAGGAAGAGCCCATTGACTGAAAGGGTTTAGCAAAAATGCAGAGGATCGCTTGAAGGAAGGTTTGCATGTTTAATGGGACTTTTTGGAGGGAGAAGGGCTCTTTCATTTAACATTTTGAATGGGACTTTGTGGGGATTTTTGGATGGGGGGTGCATTTTTGTTCATTTTTTAATGAGTGGGGTTGGGGGGGATGAGTAACATTTAACTCAACATTCCTGTTTTCGTTCTTCAATGAAACAAATAATTGTTCAATAAAATAATTAAAACTTGTTCTGTTCTACTTAAAAAAAAAATCTGAAAAAAAATCTGTTGAAATGTCATGTTTTTTTGTTTAATTTTGGATCGAATATTTCCAAAATTCCGCAGCTTAACTTCCCATGGAAACTTTCCGGAAATTTACCAGAAACTTTCCGCCCCTTTGCAACCCTATTTGTCATATATATAAAGAGGGTAGGTGTATAACCTGAGCTGACACAGCTTAAGTGGCTCAGGCTAATAGAGTTGATGTGACCTGAGTGTAAGGAAGACTCAGAAACTCTCACAGCACTTGTGAATTTACTATACTGTAAATGTTTTAAAGGCGCTATGTACACTACAGCAAACATTTATAGCTGTTAAATGTCCTTTAAGGTGCTGTTGTATGTTGGGTTAAAAGCATATAGGTACAAGTTAATACAAACACCGATATTTATGTACAACACAAATGATTGATGATCTCAGTTTATCTTAGGAACTGCCTGTGTTTTTTGGGGGGATTTGTAAAATTCAAATGATATCCAACACATAGTCATAACACGAAGGTAAATGCAGAGAGAGGAAGGTACAGTAGGGAGAGAAACTAATTGGGTCCAAGCCAGAGCACTTGAATCCGAAACTAACAAGCCAGAAACGGGATCACTGCCAACTCTCACAACGGTAAATCAGTAATCATGTGTCTCTAACCACAAGTGTGTGTGTGTGTGTGTGTGTGTGTGTGTGTGTGTGTGTGTGTGTGTGTGTGTGTGTGTTACAGCATCATTCGTGTGTAGGCCTGATGATTTGCCATGGTGCTAATTTGACAGGACAGACTGTGCATGTGGAGTGTAGGAGGGCACATATTCAGGTATTAAGGAGGCAGAACAAACAAGGGAATACGGATATAATCACACATATCTCACTGCTGGGAACCATAACAAGACAGAACAATATAGACATGAACTACCTGTAGTTGAGTGTGTGTGTGTGTGTGTGTGTGTGTGTGTGTGTGTGTGTGTGTGTGTGTGTGTGTGTGTGTGTGTGTGTGTGTCTCAGCAAGTGGGAGAGGCAAAAAAGAGAGCAAGGCCTGTATACGTTTGCATCTGTGATAAATAAACATTATTGGTTTATTTGTGTACTATAACTTTGTGTGTGTGCGTGTGTGTGTGTGTGTGTGTACTAGCAGGCTGTTTATCTGTTGGTCTTGATGGATTTGTCAGCCTGGCCTATCTGACCCATTCCATCCCTGTTAGAGTGCTGCAGATAAAAATAGCTGCCCAACTGGGACACAATGTGCAGAGCCTGGCTTTGATTAGGACACTGTGTGTGTGTGTGTGTGTGTGTGTGTGTGTGTGTGTGTGTGTGTGTGTGTGTGTGTGTGTGTGTGTGTGTGTGTGTGTGTGTGTGTGTGTGTGTGTGTGTGTGTGTGTGTGTGTGTGTGTGTGTGTGTGTGTGTGCACTGTTTTCAAAACAACTACCTCTGCCTGGACACATGACAAGGCAGTTTAGAGCAGGATGGGAGGTAAAGTTGAGGAAGAGCAATGAGAGAGTTTAGAGTGAAATAACCTATTGTTCGGTTTTCTTTCTCAGCTCACATTTCTCTAACTATCTCTCCCCTTTAACCCTAGAGTCTGGATATCAAAGCCAACTGTTTGGCACTTATTTCAAGAAAATGTAAAACAAACCAAACCCATGTTTACTGTATATATTAGCTGCTGGGAATTTACCATTATATTTAACCATTAAATGTTTCCAAAAATAAATACATAAATAACTAAGACACCTCTGTTCTACATGACTTTTTACATGACATAATTTGTGGGGGTGGTACATGTATTTTCCACTAGTGTGGTAATTAAATGTATTTGAATGTCCGTTTATGATGGGCCTTTTTACTCTTTATTTCAAGGCTTTGGATGATACTGTAAAGCACTAATTGCCTTATTTGCTTTCTAAACAAGCTTGCCTTAAAACAATCCTTACTGTACATATGTCAGGGTTTCTAAGCTTTGTTGTGTGGCAAATATTCTCAACTAACTTTGCAGAAAAAAATAATCATTACAGAGGA